ACACTAGCAGCGTCAGGCCAGCCGATTCGCTTCCTCGGCGCCTACATTGGCCACCGTCTGCCACCCAACTACCATGCGCAGCAAATAAACGACAAATACCTCGCAGCCTTTGCCCAATGGCACAGCCGCGCGAGAACAATTCAAGGCCGTCGAACACTAGCCTCGTCACTGATCCTTGGCCTTGTTTGGCACGTTACTGCCGTAACTCCAATCCCAGCGGGCATGATCGAGACTTGGCAACGGATGTTAAACAACTACATCGCTGGAGGCAAGACTGCCATCGACCCTAAGTATCGCCTCCCCATCAACGGTAGTTGGATGTATGATAAAGTCCTGGGGCTTGGAATCCCCCACATAGCTTCAATCATCCGTGGGCAGCGACTCGGGCTCCTCCAAAGACTTCTGGCTGGGCCGACCATTGCGCCTCGACCGCTGTGGTTTTCACTCGTGCTTGAACAATTCGCCAATTGCACACGAACAGTCTATCGCCCTTCCCAGCCATTTGACTTCCTGTGGTACAGGCCACAGATTAGCTCAGCGTGGCTGGACCTTCCCGAGCTCCACCCAATGTGGCTGGACGTCTGGCAAGCCTGGTCTAAAGTCCCAATGAAGCTTCGCCTTCCGATACGTCCAGATTTGCCCATGACCCTGCACATGCCTATCTGGCTCACCACGTATCACGACTTCTTACTCCACGGCAAGACCACTGCTGCATCGATTATATCCCGATCTACAGAAGCCCGCTTGTGGTGTCAAGCGGGAGCACGAAACGGTCTCACATGCCTCAGTGATTTCTTGAACAAAACCACTCCACAAGGCTACTGGCCCACCTTCCAACAATTTCAGGGACTCATGTCCTCAGGCAACCCGGCATGCACAGTCTCCTTTCAAAATGGCCGAATTTGGTTTCATCCCGTGCACCGCACACGCAGCGTGTACGACCACCTGACGCAAGTCTACCTTTCTACCTGTACCCGCTTCCAAGTCCGCCATGATGCCCCTCAGATCATTCCATCGTCTCCACCTCTTCCCTTTCGAGCACTTGTGCGCGACCAACAACAGCCCTACCCAATGTGGCCGAGGAAACTCATCGCCAAAATAGCATACCATGGTCCCACCCCAACGGATCCACACCCGACTTACAACTCGAGTCGCCCTGACCATGATACGGCTAGGAAATACATGTCCCTTGTGCGCAAATCCCTACGATGGGTTACCCCAGTTCACGCCGATGTATGGTTCCGAGCTACAATGAACATGCTCCCAGTCAACGAACGCTATAAATACCTCCTATCAACTGACCCCGAGCGTGTGCTGTGCCCCCACGAATGTGATAGTCGAGAAACACTTGCCCATGCTCTGCATACTTGTCCGTCGATTGCTCCACTGTGGACTGCCCACGAAGGGCCGTGGCAACAGTTTGGCGTATCATTCTCTTGGACCAACATCGCTAATCTTGACCGCTTCAAGGTCAACGCTCTGGGAAGACTTACCAAGGACACACTCTTTCAACTCTGGGTCATGCTCGTAGGAGTTTCACTCCATACGGCTTGGACCCAGCGCAACAATCGGAAACACCGCCGCCGAGCAGCGCCTCCACCGCACGTCCTCGTCGAGCAATCCTTCCTTCTGTGGATGGGCACCGTTCGCTGGTGGATGCGACGACAGGATGCCGACGACCCGGTCATTGATCAAACTCGAACAGTCCTCGAAAAACTCTTCTCCCAGACTCCATATTCCGAACTTCGAAGCAAATATCCAAAATGTTTGGCACTCGAAACTACGTTCGATGTGCATTAGCCACCCCTCCCCCAACCACTGGCTCCCAAGAACCAGTGATGAAACCGCTGCCAGCGCTCTGGCACAAGGTCAGGATTGAGCTTCGGCAAGATTAGCTTAGACTAACATCTAACGCGCATCCTTTGACTTCTCGGCCAAGCTGTCTTTCATGACTCTGAAGCAACTTGAGCTACACATCCAATCCAAACATCACACGCATGCTGTCACACTCATTCAAGCACACCACGACAGAAAATCACCATTTCTACTTCTAGAATCCCACCATTGCGTCAAAACTTACAAATAACTCAATCATACGTTTGCCAACTCACACTTTCCCCAGAAACTACGTGTTGTGTCTCGACACGGCCTTCAATGCGCATGCTCACTTGTCCTACATCGTGTCACCTGTGTGTTGCTATACCATTAATACACCTTGCGGACATCGACAGTCAACTCTATAATTAAAACTACAGTTGAAGCGAGCAGAGCGACAAAAAGTGTTTGTATTATCACGATACTTTCTTTCGTACACGAATGGCCTAAATAAAGCAGCAATCTGCACTGCCAAGACAAGGGGTCTTTTCGAGTTGTGAAAGAACCTTGAAACAGGAATTAAAACCACGGCAAAAATATGCTTCTTGAGCACCGGGATGAGGTGTTCTTTCCCGACGAGCCATGTCCATGAAAAAACATGATGTGTTCAATCCAACTTGTCACCACGAGCAGCCCTGAGATAGAAAAGACAGATGAGTTGGAAGAAGCAAAGTTGAATTAGGTATGTTGAGCAGTCACATGTACCACATATTATGTGGTGTGCAGGGAAGGGTACATGCAGTGTGTGCTTGAGAAATTTGAATACTACTTCGAGTGTTTCTGTGTGTGTGTGTGATCAAAGTATTGGCTACTGCATTCGTATGAAAAAAATACATTCGTGTTGATGTGGACAAATCGTGTCGAGTGGCACGAAAAAGTATCGACAGCTGTGAGATTTGAACTCACGAGGGTTTCCCCATTAGATTTCGAGTCTAACGCGCATCCTTTGACTTCTCGGCCAAGCTGTCTCTATACTCGACTCACAAGACTTGCCATAACAACCACACGAGACGTTCAAACCTTGCATTCTCCAACACCATGCACCTGCACTCATCGAACACCTTCAAGAGAGACTCCCAACAAAAAATATACTCAAATTCCACGATGTTACAACAACTATACTCACCTACTCAAACTGAGACACAGTCGTCGAGCTGGCATGCTTGTTGCCAATTCATTCCAAGCAGGGAGAGGAACAGGCATTCTTGCACCATCCACATTAACTCAAACTCATCTATATCACCACTCGTTTGAAAACAACGACCTATTCAGATTATCTTTGTTCTTTTCAGGTCACATGTGAGCCAACTTGTTGACGTAAAGCCTTCTACGTCAAAGACTATGAACTCTCGATACATGCTCGCAAATCTTCAAAGGATCAAAGGGTCCTCAGATGTGCATTCTTCTCTATCTTGAGGATCTTTCATGCAAAAAAGCAGATACGCCCTGGAGAATCCGCTCCTACATTTGAATTTCACGTAGTATGTGAAAAAGTGGACAATATATGTCATCTTGAAGCCGTCGATGAATCTTCCAGCCGAAAGTAAAACATTGTTTGTTTCTTCGTCGCCGTTGATGTGAACCCGATGACCTCACGGAAAGACATCCGTCAATAATATCACACCAAAATATGCACCCCATGTTGGTACTTTCACTCGAAACATCGTCGAATCAACGCTTGGATACACCTTCAATGTCTTATTCGTTCCGTCTTGGAGTGGACGATTTCCACACAATTTCACAACATCACTGGCATTACTTTGAATAAAATCGTGCATTCTTCACGACACTTCTTTAGCAATATCATACGTGGATTCGAATTGAATGCTTATCGAATCATATGCGATTTGATTCGATACGATCTCGGACTTGTCTACGACTTTCCGAGTTTCCACGAGGCGACTTTTGCCATGTAACTGTTGCTTCCGTAAAAGTCGCAACGGAAGTAACCATAGACGTGCTGTGGGTCTGTTGTTGACCTGTTTTTTTCGAAATGCTGTTCATTCACCGTGGTGAACTGTTGGGGATAACACTGACTGATGAAATGAGTGGTGAATCAATCCCAATCATGCACTTTGTCGCTGCGATTGGTTAGCAGATCGTTTGGTACGAGGCAGCGGATGATGAGTATTTCTTGGGTTACGCGGCCAGTGTAGTGTTAAAATTATGATTCGATGGACAATGTGTGTCGTTTCATGTCGGCAAGTAAGATGGGGTAAAAGGAGAAAAAGTCGACAGCTGTGAGATTTGAACTCACGCGGGTGACCCCATTAGATTTCTAGTCTAACGCCTTAACCGCTCGGCCAAGCTGTCTTTCATGACTCTGAAGCAACTTGAGCTACACATCCAATCCAAACATCACACGCATGCTGTCACACTCATTCAAGCACACCACGACAGAAAATCACCATTTCTACTTCTAGAATCCCACCATTGCGTCAAAACTTACAAATAACTCAATCATACGTTTGCCAACTCACACTTTCCCCAGAAACTACGTGTTGTGTCTCGACACGGCCTTCAATGCGCATGCTCACTTGTCCTACATCGTGTCACCTGTGTGTTGCTATACCATTAATACACCTTGCGGACATCGACAGTCAACTCTATAATTAAAACTACAGTTGAAGCGAGCAGAGCGACAAAAAGTGTTTGTATTATCACGATACTTTCTTTCGTACACGAATGGCCTAAATAAAGCAGCAATCTGCACTGCCAAGACAAGGGGTCTTTTCGAGTTGTGAAAGAACCTTGAAACAGGAATTAAAACCACGGCAAAAATATGCTTCTTGAGCACCGGGATGAGGTCTTCTTTCCCGACGAGCCATGTCCATGAAAAAACATGATGTGTTCAATCCAACTTGTCACCACGAGCAGCCCTGAGATAGAAAAGACAGATGAGTTGGAAGAAGCAAAGTTGAATTAGGTATGTTGAGCAGTCACATGTACCACATATTATGTGGTGTGCAGGGAAGGGTACATGCAGTGTGTGCTTGAGAAATTTGAATACTACTTCGAGTGTTTCTGTGTGTGTGTGTGATCAAAGTATTGGCTACTGCATTCGTATGAAAAAAATACATTCGTGTTGATGTGGATAAATCGTGTCGAGTGGCACGAAAAAGTATCGACAGCTGTGAGATTTGAACTCACGAGGGTTTCCCCATTAGATTTCGAGTCTAACGCGCATCCTTTGACTTCTCGGCCAAGCTGTCTCGGTCTCAGAAGCTGCCTTAAACAGAACCAATTGTATCACCCTAGTCCTGAACAACAACGATGAACCGCTCAGTCGACCATCAGCGCCAACAATCAATTTGTCTAAGTCTGGCCAACCCATTCGTTTCCTGGGTGCTTATGTGGGTCATCGATTGGATGCACTCTACCATGTCCACAACATCAATGACAAATATCTAGCGACCTTCTCTCAGTGGAGCTGCCGAGCCAGGACAATCCAAGGTCGACGGGCCTTGGCTCCCTCCATGATTCTCGGTCTAGTTTGGCACGTCACGGCTGTCACACCTATACCTGATGGGATCCTACTACAATGGCAAAAAATGCTGACAAAATTTGTCGTCGGAGGACTCTTCCGTCGACTCAACATTCCGCTCCCCACTTAATAAGGAGTGGCTCTTTGACAAGCGCTTGGGATTGGGCATCCCACACATAGCGTCTATCATCCGAGGACAGCGCCTCAAGCTTCTCCAAAGACTCATCTCGGAGTCCACAACAGTGCCACCACCTCCCTGGACAAAACTAGTGCTCGAACAATTCGCCAACTGTATGCATACGACCCTCACCATGACCCGACCCTATGACTTCCTCTGATACTCCCCGCAACACAACTCAGCTTGGATCAACCTAGCGGAGCTCCATCCAATGTGGCTTGACGTCTGGAAGTTGGGCCAGTGTACCCATGAAAAACAAGTTACCAATCCGACCAGACTTCACAACAACCTTACAGATGCCTATGTGGCTCACCTCATACAGCGAGTTCTTATACAATGGCGCGACCACTCCCGCCTCATTAGTGTCCAAATCACCTGAGGCTCGACTTTGGTGCCAACACAGTGTGACAAACGGCGTGAAGTCTTCATGATCTCCTACACCATTGGCCAGACTTTCATCAATTTCAAGGACTGATGTCCTCTGGAAATCCCTGTTGTGCGGTGTCCCTCCAGCAAGGGGTCATCTCGTTCAATGTGGTTCCACGTACACGCGGACTGTATGAGCACTTGACAGCAGTCTACCATTCCATCTGCTCGCGCTGCCAAGTCGACCAGGTTGTCAGTGACCTAGACAGAGCCCCACCGCTGCATGCCTTTCGAGCTATCGTTCGCAATCGAGCTCAACTATTTGAGTACTGGCCCCGCAAACTCATCTCTCATATAGCCTACCACGACCCTATCCCCACCAGTCCACACCCAACCTTCAGTCCCCAACGTCCAAACCACTCCAAGGAAAGGATATATATGACTCTTGTACGCAAGTCCATGCAATTGGTCACACCAGTTTATGCGGACGTTTCGACCAGAGCCCTCCTCAAAATGCTCCCGATAAACGACCAGTTTAAATATTACACGCCCGACGAACCCGAACGTCTTCTATGTCCTCACGACTGTGGGATAAACGAAACCATTGCCCACACGCTTCACGAATGCCCCGCCATCTTCCTGGTATGGCTAGCCCACGCGCCGCCGTGGATACAATACGGTGTTACCTTCTCATGGCACCACACGTCCAATCTTGATAATTCACTGTCAAAGCCAAGGACCGACCTATGAAAGCCCTCCTGTTCAAGCTATATCATGCTTACGGGTGTGACAATCCACTTGGCTTGGTTACAGCGGAACCAAAGAAACATCGCCGACGTGCAGCCCCACCACATCACGTCCTTGTCGACCAATCGTTCGTTGTTTGGATGTCCGCCATACGCTGGTGGCTGCGCCGCCAAGAGCACGACGACCCCATCATCTCCGAGGCCAAAACCCTCCTCGATAGCCTGCTCTCGAAGCACTCATACTCCGAACTTCGAAGCGAATATCCAAAATGCTTGGCACTCGAAACTACGTTCGACGTACATTAGTCACCCCTCCCCAATCACTGGCTTCCAAGCTCCAATGATGAAACCGCCGCCAGCGCTCTGGCACAAGGACAGGATTGAGCTTCGGCAAGATTAGCTTTAGACTAACCTCTAATGCGCATCCTTTGACTTCTCGGCCTCATGGCTCTGTTGCAACTTGAGCTACACATCCAATCCAAACATCACACGCATGCTTTCACACTCATTCAAGCACACTATGACAATAATCTGCATCGTTCACAGAATAGTGACATTCGTTGCAGTTTTCTGTTTGAATTTACTTAAATTTATAGGGGAGTCGAAAATCTTCCGTACAATCCGCCAATTCTATAGGAGAGCTGTTAATATCTACTAGTATTGTCTTTTTCACCCAAATTTGTATTTTTTTACCAAAATCGAATTCTATTCCAAATCGATTCGATCATACTGAAGTCAAGTAAAAATGGAAAGTATGGCAAACGTCCCAAATTAATTACACGCGTGTGTGGGTGTGTTTTGCGTGAATTAGGTAAATACTTGATTCTGATTGGCTGAGCGATTTGCAGATCGATTTGAAAAATCGATACATTTCGGACCCCCCTCACAATTTCGAATGAAATCGACAATACTATTAATAATAATAATCGAAGAAAAATACATTCATCAACTTTTACAGTGCATAACATATTGAAATTAAGATTGAAAACTTGTTCCATGTCGAGAGATGATATATAGTCTACAACTCAACATTTTGATTGCTAGCTATAGAGAAAGGCGTCTGTAAATGTCTTTCAGGATTTTTACCGATGCAGTGCATGTCAAAGAGTTGGTGCTGTCTTTACTTGCACAAGTTAAGCAACGCAATCTCGAAAAAAGGATTGAAACAAAAGTAGATAAACAGCTTTCGCCTTAAATGTTTGATTTATGAGGCTGTAAACAACGTTGAGGTATCACGAGGTCGTATGTGATGTCAACTTTCCAAGCCCTTTGTCCATCCCCTTAGGAACGCTGAAATAGCTCTGTCGTTGATTAAATTCAGAGACATAGGAGTAAATTCATCTTACTTCGAAGTAATTTATTTGCTCAGTTAACATCATTATTGCTACCGGAGGCGTGCAAAAATTGGCCGTACCTCGACAAGCATGAGCGTGGGGTGATGGATCTCTGTCAACTCACACAACTTTGATGTATGACTTCATATATAGCCAATTGAAACTACTTTAACTTTGGATTGGACAAAATCAAAATGCCAATGTAATCCACACTGTAAATTCCGAAGACAATAGGGGGAATCAAATTTGAAAAATCGGCTGCTTTTGCGTTTCGACTTTGCTTTTCGAGTTTTGCTTTTCGTAGGCCGAAAATTAAAAGTACCTCCAGAGGTACTTTTGCTTTTCGAAGAGATCGAAAACAAAAAGGAAAAGCAAATTTTCTAATTTGATTCCCCCTAATATTGTCTTTTCACCCAAATTTGTATTATTCTACCAAAATTGAGTTCATTTCCAAATCGATTCCATCATACTGAAGTCAAGTATAAATGAAAATTACGGTAAATTGGCCAAATAAAATTCACGTGTGTATAGGTGTGTTTTGCGTGAACTTGGTAAATACTCGATTCTGATTGGCTGATCGATTTGCAGATCGATTTGAAAAATCGATACATTTGAGACCCCTCTCACAATTTAGAATGAAATCGACAATATAATACATTTTATTTTTGTGGGAGATGACTTTAGAAATCTTCCACAACCTTGTGAACTGCAAACCAGCTTGCTCTTTACTAGTATTCAAGTTGGATTGTAGAGATAATCTAAAGATGAAAAATGTGTTGCGATTACTTTACAAATCCATTCAAAACGTCTTACGAATGTTCACACGCTGGTCGAAATGAATGGATCAGCAATTTGGATCTCAATATCCATTATCCTTGTATTTGAGCTTAAACTACTTGATTTGAAGATCTTTCACTGTTGGGGGATTCATGGAAAACCTCCATGCTGTCATCCTCGGTACTGCTCAATGCTGTGCCGGCATAGTTCAGCTTGGCTGTTGTAAACGCTTCGTACACATCCATGTCTCTGCAGAGCAGAGAGACCTGTTCCAGTGGAAATCGCGTGACCCCTCTTTCCAAGGAATTATCGCGTTCTGGGCAGTGACAGAACAGCCATGACATTCTCCACAACGCATCCATCGCAGTTTCAGCCGCCAACCTCAGAGGACATCCAGCTAAGCCCGTACCAATTGGAATAATGGCAATATGACGCACATCAAGGGAAATTGCTTGAGCACACGCTTCCACGTACACCTCCGCAAGAATGGTATGCTTCAAATTCTCGGGGTCATGGCGCATCGGTCCAATACAATGCAACAAATGGGCAAAAGGACTCACCCCACCTCCAGTGCGAACGACAGCCCCAGGGGGAAAGCTCAAATGCGTTGACCGGCGGTAAATCAACTCTTGACAAAGGGCGTAGCCGCCCATACTATGAACAGCCCCGGCAGCTGAGGTGGGGTGAGGGTGGAGAAGTGAAGGGGTTGTCGGAAATGCAAGAGCAACTTCCTCTGCCATATTTGGAGGTATACTTTCCATACAGGTTTGAACGATGGCTACGCGATTTGTGAACCATTCTCGATGAAAGCTCATGTGTAAAAAAGCACAAGACAGAGAATGCGGTGCGTTAAGCTGGGTTGGTTCTCCAAAACTCTCCAAGTAGAGATGATGCCACAAAGCGGTGTCAGACAAAAGTGGTTCCATGAGATGATGCAGCGCAACGACGGCAAGGAAAGCCTCCAAGTCATGGCTGCTCAAACATGCGAGGACTCGGACACTCAAAATGTGAAGGCACTCGACGAGGTTCGGCATCAATGACCGTCAGATGAAAACTGATCCAAGAGCCAAGGCACTTGAACGTTGACGTCTTGTCCCAAGCAGACCAACCGATATTCCGTTGGGATTTGACAAGTTATGACTACGACTACGAGTCGGTTGAGCTGGAGGAACCTCGATATCTAATCTGGAGTCAGTGCATTGTACACAGAGATGTTGGGATCACAACGACTATCGCTCCTGGTTGCAACATAGTCTCAGTCTACATAGAGCTCAATTACAAGCTTAAAAGTTGCCTCTTCACAACTACGAGGCGGATTTGATGAAGT